AGGGGGCAGCCTCTGGTCTGGTGGGCCTCAGTCTTCTTCCTCACTGGGAGTTAGCTGTTGTTGTTGTTAAGTGCCATCGAGTTGGTTCCGACTCATAGCTACCTTATGTATAACAACCAAACATTGCCCAGTCCCGTGTCATCCTCACAATCATTGCTATGCTCGAGCCCATTGTTGCAGCCACTGCGTCAATCCATCTCATTGGGGGTCTCCCTCTTTTTCGCTGACCCTCCACTTTACCAAGCACGATGTCTTTCTCCAGTGATTGGTCCTTCCTGATCACATGTCCAAAGTAAGTAAGACAAGGTTGCCCCATCCTCTCTGCTAAGGAACATTCTGGTTGTACTTCCTCCGACACCAATTTGTTCATTCTTCCGGCAGTCCATGGTATATTCAATATTCTTCGCCCGCACCACAATTTGAATGTGACGATTCTTCTTCAGTCTTCCTTTTTCATTGTACAGGTTTCACACGCATATGAGGTGACTGAAAACACCATGGCTTGGGTCAGGTGCACTTGAGTCATCAAAGTGACATCCTTGTTTCATTAACACTTTAAAGAGATCTTTTGCAGATTTGCCCAATGTAATATGTCGTTTGATTTATTGACTGCTGCTTCCATGGGCATTGAAGTTAGCAGGGGAGTTAGCAAGGCAGGAGAAAAGACATCATGGTCAGGTGGAAAGGATATGGATTTTAGAGTCAGAGCCAAGTGTAGATTGTCATCTACAAGCTAAAGCCTTGGGCAGGTTATTTAACTACTTTGATCCTCATTTTTTTTCATCTGTACAATGGATGTAACAGAGATGCCCATTCCCCACTGTCCAGCTCAAGGTACTGTGCCATGCTCAGTCCACTAAGGCAAACATAGTAAGAGAGCTACTTCCCTTTGAACTTAAGAGTTCTCCTGGGGTTGCACTCGCGGGGGAGCAGGATGGCGGTGGAATAAAGCTTCATAGAACAGAGAAGGCGTCTTTCCCGCTGGCAAGGAGAGGGCACTTAACATAGACGGGGCAAAATTCCCATTCTTGTGAAAACTGGCCCAAGCACAGGGTGCAGACATTTTGACTCCACTCATGTGGAGACTGGGAGCTGGGTCATTGAAGACTCCAGCTCAAATAGACTATTGGACACTTGATTATTGCCCGTTGTATCAGTCTTCTCTTAGTACACGTGGCTCCCTCTGACAATACCTTCACTGGGACCATTTTCCTAGCTCTTGTCACCTGTCAACAGAACCACTTTTTCCTCCCTTATACCCCTAGCCTCCTATGCTTCTTGTCCATACTCTTTTCCCTATTATACCAAAGACCCAACTCTCTTCTGTTGTCCCAGTAGTCCTTGATGACCAACCTGGAAATGTCTCCATAGTTTATTAAACCCAGAGCCCAAATGAGCTGCAGAAAAACCTGTTCACTATTTTTTAAGACAGAGAAGGCTTGTTCTTCAAGAATTAAAACTACCTGAAACAACATCCCCTTCTAGGAGGGAGAAGAAATATTTTTATTCATTCTGCAAACATTCCACAAATTTTTAAGGGACTGTCTTCTTGGCCTAGAAAATACACAAGGAAATAGGAAGTCTCACAGGCTTCACTGTCAGGAAGGCTCTCTCCATTTGGAGGCAAGATGACAAGAAACAGTTCCAGTTTCACCATTTCTTCTAACCCAAGATCTCCTTTTCAGAGACATATCAGTACCCCACAAGGGCTCTGTTCCTGCTTGGGGCACTGTGTCTAGGGGTATGTGATTTGCCAGCCTTGTTAATTTGCTAGTCAGGAACATGTGATTGACAGTCCAAGGAAATAACATAGATGGTGGAGTGGGCAGGGCAGTTCCCTAAAAAACGGATACAGGGTAGATAATAATAACAGATAATGTACTGTACAAAGCCATACATTTTATATTCCATTTCCATTATTCCGTTTTTAACATTCCTGTTCCATTTGTGGATGAGGCTAAGTGACTTCAGAGAGGCTAAGCGACTTATACAAGCCACATAGTCAGCAACTGGCAACACTGAGATTTAAACTCAGGTGGGTTTCTTTCTCCAGAACACCAAGCTAACAGTCATTCCGAAAGTATTTGTTGCCTTGAATATTCACCACGACAAGACTGTGTAGGGCCTTGAATATGAAACTAAGGCTTAGAAACCGAATTTAATAGGTAAGTCACTAATTTTTTTTTCAGGAAAGAGTTCTTAGGTGTTCATACAAAAATAAAAATCAGTTGTAAAACCTGGTCCTTGAATGCAATTTTATTTGGCAAAATTTCCCTTTCAATGGTCTTTTGAAGGGAATTCAGTGCGTGGCTAGATTCTCTAATTTTCTCCAAATCAAAATTGAAAGACTTTAAAAAAGAAGAATCTTACTGCATTTTCTGACTATGTGTAATACATACCTGTTTCAGAAATGACAAAAGGAGCAGAAAATCAAAGTTCCCCAAGAAATATAACCACTATTAACAGGTTGGTGTGTATTCTGGGAACCTTCTTCTAAGCATACAGAAATATATATATGCACGTGTACTTTTTATACAGTCAGTTTTACAAAAATAGGACACTATACAGACTGCTGTACAACAGAATATTATGGAGACCTTTCCGTAATAGTAGAAATAGATGTAAAATTCTCTTTTAAGCATACCAACGATTGTGAAGATGGCACAGGACCAAGCAATGTTTCATTCTGTTATACATAAGGTCCGTATGAGTCACAGCCCACTCAGCCACAACAGTAACTTGTTCCTTCAGAGCTGACTCGATGGCAACAACAGTCACGTTCTTTACTTGGCTTTACCTAAACTTATTTAATCAATTCCCTAATGAAAAGTATCAAAGTTACTTCACAATTGCAATTTTGCTACTACAAATAACCTCACACAGAATATCCTCCCACGTATATCTTTGTCTACTTGTGCATTTCCATAGGATAAATTTCTACCAGCAGAACTGCTGGCCAATGGTTACATTTTAATTTTTAATACATATTGCCAAACTGCTCTCCGAAATGGTTGTTCCAGTTTACCTTCTCCCACCAAGTGTTTGGAGAGTGTTTACTTCTGCATACTATCCCTGAGTACTTTTAATCCTTTACAAGCCAAAAAAAAAAAAAGGAAGGCCTAACGGTGGTTCCAACGGTAACAATAATAACAAAACCGAAAAATTTTAAAAAAGGTCAATGAACAATTGAATTCCTCCTTTGGAAATGGAAAAATTTTACTAGATTTTATGGGGTGGTTATTTTTAAGAATAAAAAGTAGAGAATAATAAACTATGGACATCCTCAAATTATAGGTATTACTGTCAAAGTTATATGGCCCACAAGGAACATTCTATTTTACTTCACATTCATCTGGAGAACACATCATTTGCTTAAAATCTAATTCTACAAGGCTTGTGGCATTCAGAGGGAGTAAGCTGGTGAGTATACGTCTTTCATGTCCTTGCTAATGAACACAGTGTCAGCACTATTCAAGTGTGACGTTGGTATGCGGCACCATTACACTCATACTGGCTAGAAACTTATTAAAGTCCCGTGTCCAGATCTAGGCGCAGCTACTAAAGAGGGAGTTGGAGAGCTTGGAAAGGGTTCAAAGGAGAGCCACGGAGTTGATTAAAGGGTTTGAAAATAAGAGCTGTGAGGGAAGGTTAAAAGAACTGTGATTATTCAGGCTTGAAAACAAGAGAAGGCTGAAGGGTGAATTAATAATGGAAGTCTAATAAATAAGACTCTTACACAGTAGATGGTGACTGGCCACTTTCTAATTGTGCTGAGAACAGACAAAGAGAATTTATACTTTATCACAAGAAATTTACTTACAACTAAAGAAAACTTTCCTGAGAACATTAATCAAATTTTCTCAGTGCCAAAGGTATCTGCCTAACAAATTTTATGTTCAGGAAGATATAAGTATGGTTTCAGGTCAGTAGGTTACCACTTACTGTGTTATTTTACAAAGGAAAACTGAGTAGAATGGGGAAGAGTGGCAGTGAGGAGGAGAGAGAGAGAATGAAGTAGTACTCTATGTGCCAAAAACCTCATTCACAAGAAGGGGGAGGGAGAGGAAGGGAGACAAGAAATGGGAGGAAACGAGGGAGAAAGTAAGGGAAAAAGAGTAAGTTGTTGTGAAAACATTGCGTCTCTTCCTTTTACTGTTTGTACAGCGGATCCATTTAGATATTCGAGTTGGAGAACATGACCTTGATGCAGCCATTGCTCAAGCAAAGGACAAAGTTAATGAAGTTAGCTTCAAGCTTGAACATCTAATTGAGCAAATAGAGCAAGTAGTCAAAGAACAAAATTATCAAAGGGTCAGTTTGCCTACTCAGCTTGTTTTATCTCTTCCTGCCAGGAACACTTTCCAGCCACAAAGCCTCTGGAGCAAGGAAAGAATGAACTGCCTGTTCCTCTGTCTTTCTCTCTGAGCTAGAACTACTCAGACACGCAGGGGGTAGGGAAAAGGCAGTCTTTCACTCTGCTGGACTGTAAGCTCCCCAAGGAAAGGGGACTGCAACTCATTCATCTTTTTACCTGCAGTGCCCAGCAAAGTGCTCAGCAGCACAGAGTATGAGCTTAATAAATGTGTATTACAGAACAAATGAATGAATGCTTCCACATATACCCTTTTAGCAATGCAAACGCCACCCCATATATTTGTGGAGGCACAAGAATACCCACCTTCTAAATCAACATTATGTTCTTGTTACGACATCATATATTTACCCGGTCACTGCACTCAGTGGACTCTGGCCAGATGTGGGCTCAGATCCAGCTCCATCACTTACTAACCTCTGTGCCACCTCTAAGCCTTAGTTTCCTTATCTGGAAAATACAATGAGGACAGGTGTGATAATTAAATAAGGCTTGCAAGTGCCTGGCACAGTGCCTGGCATAAAGTAAGGTAAGGACTCCAATGATGAGAATCTACCATTGCGGGGTCATGCACCATATAAAAATGTTCACTTTCCCTGATGGGAGCAAAATACAATGAATAAAGTAATAGCTATCCCACACCAAAAACAAAAACGTGTTTTATAAGGTTGATTCTTCTTCTCTGGTGCTTGCCTCTCCCTTAGAAAATCAGTTACTTTGTACTTCGGTATAAAACATTAACTTGGTAATATTAAGTACCTTGAACGTATACAGCACCTTTCCCCAAATCCTTGGGCTAAGTACTTTAAGAAACTAAACCCTTCTATTTCTCTTCTGCGTAGGACCGTGAAGAAAATTTCCGAATGATCAGTGAAGATACAAACAGCAATGTTTTATGGTGGGCTTTTGCACAAACATTAATCCTGATCTCAGTTGGAATTTTCCAAATGAAGTACCTTAAAGACTTCTTTATAGCTAAAAAGCTTGTTTAAAATATTAATAAAGGCAAATAACTACCTACTAATT